CACCGAAAAAGAATACAGTTCAGTCATCTGGCAAATATTATTGAGCTCCCATCCCGTGCAAGCATATATAGCAGTATATCAAACATAGTGTCTGACTTCTAAGAACTCTCAGTCTTAGATGAGACAGACTTTAATGCAGGATGACCAATGCAGTAAGCTGGAAGCAGTAGGACCTATGGGAGCAGAAAGGATGGTACTCAACCTGGGGTGGAAGGGAAACAAGGAAGGCTTCCTGGAGGAGAAGTCTGGACTTAGTCTTAAAAGATAAATAGGTGTTTTCAGAACCAAGATAGAAGTGGGGAGCAAATCTGGGGCTCATACAAAAAAATCTGCCCTCAGTTAAATGGGGGACACCCCTGGCAGAGCCACGAGCTTGGGGCTGGGTACTGGGGACATTCAGAGAAGCCTGAGTGACCACCTGTTTGAGATGTAATAGAAGGGAGTATCTTCTTAGGAAATTAGAAGAACTCACCATTTTTCCACTTGGAGAGTCAATAATTGTGTCAAATCAAAGGCAGGTGCTGAACCAGAGAAGAGAAGTGGGCTCCCTCAGCACCAGTGAGCCAGGCCTTCACTCCCACCAACACCACTGCTACTGCTTTACCTTGCCCTGGGTGATGAGGTCCAAACCAGCCACAGTGGCACCAACCAGAATCAGCCCCACGACCACCCACCCCCCATGCTACTCTCCTGGCCCAGACCCTATTGACAGATCCCCCAGAATCTGAAGGAATTCAAGACAAATGGTTAAGAGGATGGAGTTAATAAAATTTGAAAAATTGAGGCCTGTCACTCCACTAAACTTTTTTCAATACCACTGACAGAAACATATTTCCCCAATGAGTGACCTTCCACAGCTGTAGCGGGCAGGCACAGCCGCAGCAGTGCTGCCAGGAAGCCAGTCTGCTATTTATCAAATATTATAAGCTGGGACACACTAATCTGGAGAGGGAAAGGAGGGGAGGGGTCCTGCATCACACTGCCTGGGGTGCTCCAGGTGTTTGCCCCAGCCCCAGACAGCCAGTGGGAGGTGACGGATGGCCTGCGATTAGCGCTCCCCACCTCCATCCAGCCCTTTCACTTGCTCCCAGAGGCCTAGCCCTCTAGACCAGCTGCTTGGCCCGAAGGGGCCCTGGGTGGGAGGCAAGGGGAGGTCAGGCCAGGGCACAGGCCATCCTGATGCCCCTGGAGAGGGCAGGCGGGCGAGGCCCAACGTGGTTATTTATTGGAGTGTAATGGTTTGTGGCCGTTGGTCGTGGAGGTGAAATCGATCAATAGTAGAAGTCAGGTTCTATCAATTATTACAGCAATTAGTCAAGTCAGAGCGAGGGTGCAGGGCTGGGGTACTAATATTAGGTGGACACTATCCATGGTACCCCCACCTCAGCCTTCTTGAAGTGGGGGCAGATGTGCTGCCCTGAGGCTCCAGGACCTTAGGGAGCCTTCCCCATGAGTGGTCAGGTGGAGCCTGACCTGAGAGCCCCCTGGGCTGGAGACAGGCCTAGTACTGCTTTAAAAGGAGCCCCTGTGCTGGCTGGCCTAGATGCAGAGATGTCCTACCTGTCCCTATCCCATCCTTTATGAGAAGTGACATGACTCCTACTAGAAATTACTCAGTGGCCAATGTTTATGGCACACATTTTTCATTCTGTAAGCAAATGTAGATCACTGACAGCACTTGTTTGAAGAGGCTAATCTCACTTTCCGTACGTTCTTCTACTGTCTTTCTCTATCACCTTTGCTCCTCTTCCCCCTCCTCTTCTCTCTCCCATTTCTTTCTTTCTATCCATTTTTCTGCTCTTCTCTTTGCCCTTCTTCCCCTTCCAGAGGTTTCTCCCTAATCCTCCCTTCTACTGCAGCTCATATCTAGTGACAGAGCTCCCCTTGAGGCTAAGAAAGGAGAGACCTTTCCACTGCTTCATTGCATCTCCCTTTCTGCCTCCACTGGTTTAGCTCTGGGGGAAGGGGAGGATCCCCTCTGCCACTGGCCCCTCAGCCCTTGCGCCAGAGAAAGCAGCTCAGTGGGGCTGGACCAGGAAGACTGGGCCAGTCGAACAAGTCTCTGAGCACTTTGTTCTTTCCTGAGCCTCCCAGTGCTGCCTGTCCCTCCTTCAGCACACTGATGACGCTCAGCCTGTAATCTCTTGTCCCCGTGAGCTCCTGGAGAGGTGGACTCAAACTCTAGGTAGCACCTAATAATCTTAAAGACAGGAAGAGGCATCTGCAAAAGAGAAAATAAATGGTTACAAGGATGGGAAGAAAACCTGAAAAGTGGTTTTATAGAACTCAAAGGAGAGAGTGGCCAAGGTATCAGTTGCTACAGAACAGTCAAGGAATATAAAGAAGGAAACTATTCATTGGCTCTGCCAATCCCCCATCATCCTGCACACAGAGGCTTGCAGATACACAGTGCCCAGTAAGTGCCAGCAGAATTGAAAGAAAGGATGAGGCTCCGACTGAGCTTCTGAGGACTTGCCCAGTAGTTAGGACGACCACAGACAGACTCCTTCCTAGGGAGGTTGCACTTTGTCCTGAAAGCAAAGGCCAACTGAAGACTTTTTCAGTGGGGGTATATTGTGCCACCCTTGTGAGAGTAGAGAATTGGAGTTAGGAAAACCTGGGGGTTGTTTTCACTCATAGTTCAAGCAAGTAAAGCTAGCTTAGTGACCTCAGGCTAGTTATTTTACTTTTCTGAACCTATAGCTTGGGGATTTTAATTCCTATTCCTCAGGGTAGTTGTGAGGATTAAATGATAAAATGTATGGAAAGTACCAAGCACAGTGCCTGGCACAAAGTAAGTGCTCAATAAATACCAGTATTACTGTTATTACATTGTGACTCCAATGATCTGCCCAGGAGACATGAAAACATGTCTACACAAAGACTTGTATGTGTATGTTCATTGCACTGTTTATATAATAGCCAAAAAGAGGAAATAGCTTAAATGTCCATCATCACCTGATAGACAGATAAATAAAATGTAGTATATCCACAGAATGGAGTATTATTCAGCCATGTTGGATGAACCTTGAAAACATTCTGGTAAGCTTGAAGAAGTCAGATATAAAAGGCCTCGTATTATACGACTTTATTCATATGAAATATCCAGAATAGGCAAATCCATAGACAGAAAGTAAACTGATGGTTGCTGGGGCTGGGGGTACGGGGAGTGTCTGATAATGGGTAGGAGATTTCTTTTGGAGGGGGGTAAAAGTGTTCAGGAATGTTATATTTTAAACCACTGAATTGTATACTTTTTTTTTTTTTTTTTTTTTTTGAGATGGAGTCTCGCTCTGTTGCCAGGCTGGAGTGAAGTGGCATGATCTCAGCTCACTGCAACCTCCACCTCCTGGATTCAAGTGATTCTCCTGCCTCTGCCTCCCAAGTAGCTGGCACTAGAGACACGCACCACCACACCCAGCTAATTTTTGTATTTTTAGTAGAGGTGGGGTTTGTGTTGGCCGGGATGGTCTCCATCTCTTGACCTATGTGATCCGCCCACCTTGGCCTCCCAAAATGCTGGGATTACAGGCTTGAGCCACCATGTCTGGTCTGAATTGTATACTTCGTTTGTTTGTTTGTTTATTAGACAAGGTCTGTCTGTTGCCCAGGCTGGAGTGCAGTGGTACGATCTCTGCTCGCTACAACCTCCGCCTCCTGGGATCAGGCAATTATGCCTCAGCCTCCCAAGTAGCTAGGATCATTTCTTTTTAAGTAGAGACTTGCAATAGGAATACTTCTGTATGATGATATAAATGTTTTCACATACTGGATTGAGAAACACTGGTTTTCACTGTCCATCAGCAGTGGTTGGACACCCACCTGAGCCATGCCCTGTGCTAATTGGATCCCCAGCCAGTCCATTGTATCCTGTGGCAGGGTCTGAGTCTTAACCTTCTTTACTTCAGACAACACTTCCTGAGTGAGAAAGAAGCTAAAGAAGTACTAGAAAATTATTACCTTAATGTTCCGTGTAACACACATTTATTGAGCATCTGCCGTGTACAACGCAGTTTTCTAATTATGTTTCTGTCTTCCTGACTTGAGAGGAGTACCTTTAGGGCAGGGCCAGATGTGATGCGTTTGTGTCCTCAGGCCCCATTCATTCAGGGTCTGCCTAATTGAATGGAATGGATGGTTTTTGAAGAAGAGAGTGAGGTGCTTAAACCTGGGCTTTGGGAAGGCTGTGATAGCACAGAGAGTCAGAATGACCTTTCCTCCGTAACTGGCAAGGCTGGCATAAAGTAGACAGTTTATACAGGCTTATCAGCTGTCATTACTTAGAGAGAAGGTAGATACATGGCCCCAAGCTAACCCCTTCTTCTTGTCATACTCAGTCTTTGTCCTTAAGTCACAGGAATTAATGATTGGAAGAAATGTCCCCCCCAACACACACACACACACACACACACACACACACTCACTCACTTACTCACTGACAGCTAGAGTGGCATAGCCAGGTTGCTAATGGTGCCCCGTCCTTCCAGGGGACTCAGCTGACTCAGACAGACAGGAAATGCCCAGAGGTAAGAGAGCATAAAAGGAGAGGAGCAGAAAACAGAAAGAAGGGGAACCATTTAATTGTTATTTGAGATATTCTCTGCCTTAGAAAGGAGCCCTTTATATAGCTTCATGAATGAATGTTATCTGTATGCCGATACTTTGGAAAATGTGGACATTTTGATGAATGCATGTATGAAATTGTGTGTTTATATGTAGTTGTGCTGGGTATATTAACCTGTGTATTTGGCATATTTTGTTAGCACATTCAGCAGTGTGTATTTGTATATGTGTAACACATCCATGTGTGTGTAATATGTTATTGAACATGTGTGCATGCACATGTAGGAGCCCCAGTACCATGTTTTTCCCACCATTTGTGACTGTCCAGGGACATTCCCAACATAGAAATCAGAGCCCCAAGCCACCTCCAAGGGAAGGCTGAGGTCCCACTGATCGCTCATAGAGCCTCTGACCATTTATCCTTCTTCTCTTGCCAGGAGCCAACCCCCTGCAGAGGAATGAAATGGGACACACACCCTTGGATTATGCCCGAGAAGGGGAAGTGATGAAACTTCTGAGGACTTCTGAAGCCAAGGTAAGTCTCAGGGAAGGGAAGAGGCCTGTGGACACTCCATGCATCATTTAATCTTTCACTCATTCAATTATGTCAGGATTTACACCAAAGGCCACTTCTCCTTAGGTAATTATTATCTGTTTAAATACAAATCCAGCCCACAGTCTCATCAAGAATAGGAAGCTGCCCCTGTCATGACCAAGGAGCGGCCTTGGCCACTTCTGGCTTCTGAGCATTACCTTTAAATGTGGTTTATGAAGTAATGGGTCCTTTTCAGAGGAGGGGGCACTAGCCAGACAAAATCTTTAGCCCACGTAAAGATTTTAGTCATTTTTCCTAGGCCTCATGTTCTACAGCCTCATCAAACAATCTTTTCCCATCATCACTCTTTCTAGAACTATTCCTTCACCTTTCCCCTCCACACACACTCCAGAGAGCCTGGTATAGAATCTGAGCCAAAATAGAATCTGAGCCCAAAAATCCTCCATTCTAATTCTGTCTTCTCAACCAAACTTTTGAACTCCCTGAGAACAGGGCTAAGTCTTCCACCTCTCCCAGCCACAGAGCTGTAACTCAGGAACTACTGGACAGAATCCAAGAACTAGAATCACAAATCTCAGAGCTGGCAGGGACCTTAAAATCAAGTCCAGTGATGGGAAATCTTACAAAAGCACAAACCAATAAATCAGAGGAAAATTGAGTTGTTCGAGTTGAAGGAGAAAGATGGACTAGAGCACTGCCCACATGGCCTGCCCTTCCCTCCTGGGGCAGCCTCTGAGGGGACTCTGCTGTTGGCACAAGTTTCAATCTCGGAAACCTAAATCAACTGACTTGTTTTACTCCTGGAGAAACGAACCCAGGGCTGTGATGTGGCTTGCCTTTGGTCCCAGAGTGAGTTAGCATCAAAACTGAACATAATAGGCTTTACTACAAGGTCATATGGTAGGTTCAGTGGCAGGACAGGGACTGGAAGACCTGGTTTTTTACTTTCGCTCTTATGCCCTTTCCAGCATCATGGAGTCTCTTATCCACAAAGTGGCTGAAGTACCTTGAGATGATTCAGTGTGGCAAGTCCCACCTAGTGGCAAATATTCTCTGTCTTGAGTCTGAGCACTTAGCTCACTGGACTGCGACTGAAGAGATGTGGGTTCTAATCTTAGCTTAGCCACTCACTGCCCATGTGACCTTGGGCTAGCACCTCCCCTCATTAAAGCTCAGTCTTCTGAGATGTGAAAACATTGTACTAAATGTCTTCTAAGGTTCTAGGCAATAAATGATTGTCTGTGGATCAGTCAGTATAAGCTAGATGCTGCTATTGTAACAACCCCAAATTTCAGTGGTTTAAAACAAAACAAGATTTCTTTTTGCCTTATGTTGCATGTTCCTTGTGGTTAGAGATGAGGGGCAGGCCTTGTTCATTCTAGGCACTTAGGGATCCCAGCAGGCAGAGCAGCCACCCACGGGAATGTTGCTGGTTGCTTGCCAGAGGGAAAAGGATGCTCTGAAGGGTCTTACATCTACAGTTAAATGCTCAGCCTAGAAGGAAGAGCCCTTCCTTCCACTCACTATTCATTAGCCAGAATGAATCCCATGTTTCAAATCAATCATAAGGGAGCCAAGAAAAGTAATCCTACCATGTGCCTAGAATGGGAGAACTGGAAATATTTGGTAATCAACACGAACCGTATAGATTTTGCCTCCCTGGTATTTTTAGTAACTGTCTTGCTGTAATTTCTTCCAGAGAAGGGAAGGAATTAGGAAGGGTGACTAGCTTTTCACAACCCATCCCCAGGGGCCCTTGTGACCAGAAAGAACTACTAAATTTCAGAAGGCAAATGCTTCTCTCCTTTTTTTCAGATTTTTCTCTCCTAGGAGCAGGTCAGGAGATCGGGTCAACTTCCCCAAGAGCCTTAAGGAAATCCCTCAGCACTGTTGCACGTAACTTTAGGGACTGCACTCTCATCATCAGCTCCCTTTTCTAGCTCAGTTGCTGTCCCCTGAGAGACCAGCCCTGGACTTGACCAAGAGTACCTGTAGTTTTTGAGCTTGTGTAACATACAGCAGGCACTGGTCTGGCCATTGAAGCAAGAGAACAGGCCCATTTGTGCCAGTGCTGATGGAGGTGTTAGGCTTACTGAGGGACCCTTAACAAAATTTGGCTGCCCAAGGGAGGTGGCTTGATATTGGCCACATTATTACAGGGCTAATGTCCAGAGTGAACAAATGGCAGTTGCAATCCCCTGTGCTGGTCAGACCCTTCTGGAGCATGGAGGGCAACTACAGACACCATATTCAAAGTAGACACTGACCTCTTAGAATCTGTGCAGAGAAGGGCAGAAGGGTGGCAAGAGGAACTGTGCCATGAGAAAAAGCTGATGGTAATAGGGGCATCTGGCCAGAAGAGGAGGAGCACAGGAACAGCTGTGAGTGAGAGGGAGTGAGATTTAGTCCATGGCAAAGCCAGAGTAGCTAGGCTTATTGGGCAGCAGCTTCAGGGAAGAGCCCCCTAACACAGCTGTTCCCACTATGGAGGGGCTGCCTTAGAGGCTAAGAAGACCACTTGGAGCCAGTCCAGGGAGTCCGTAGCTCTCAGCTGGAAGTCCATGTCATCTGTTGTCACCTCTGTGCACTTGATCCCTTCATCCAGTCCGGACTCTCTCCATCCTGAATGTGCCCTCTGAGCAGCTCCACCTAATTTCTCTGCTGTCCCATAAGATTCTACCTATGTGGGCCGGGCGTGGTGGCTCACGCCTGTAATACAAGCATTTTGGAGGCCAAGGCGGGCAGATCACCTGAGGTCGGGAGTTCAAGACCAGCCTGACCAACATGGTGAAACCCCGTCTTAAAAAAAAAAAAAAAAGATTCTACCCATGTGAAGCACCCCTCAGCTCTCCCTGGATGTCAGCAGCATCAGCTTGCTCTCAGTTGTTCAACATCTACTTGGTCATGCATTCATTCTGTTCTGCTTTATTCCTCCAAACTGCAAAAAGCTACCTCTTCAAGATTGTGAGTAAGAAAGAAGCAGCTGCCTCTGAGTTCAGGCCCTCCATCTGTAACATAATGACTCAGGCCTGGAGGCTTTTGAAGCTCCAGCCTGGGCCTCATCTCCTGGCTCTTTGTCTAGACATGGGTTGCTGCCACTCTGATCTTATCTGGCTCCCCTTCTGTCCGCCCAGCATCCCCCTGCCACCCAGCTCAGCCTCCTCCACCTACACCTACCACTCGTAGTCAAATTATGCTCATAGAAAACTTGTATTAAAGTCATATGTCTCATTATAGAAGTTTTAGAGATACAAAGAAAGTAAAATGAAGAGAATTAAATAATATAGTACATATTACAAATGACATTTATGTGCCAGGCTGTGGGCTGGATGGAAAGAAGACTGATGAGTAAAATATTCAGGGAGCTACAGTTTGATAGGGAGACAGGCAAGTAAGCCATGACACCACTGAGTCATCAGTGGTATGACTTATCAAGGAAGGCTTCCTGGAAGAGATGACAACTGAGCTGAATTTAACTCAAAGCACTCTAGCCCTCCCACCAGACATAACCACTATTAATAGTCTTAATTGTTTATAATAATAGTAGATACCATTTTTATCAGATGCATCTAGGTACTGTGTCAGGTGCTCAAATATATATTTTTTCTAATCCTGTGGCCTTTGAAGTAGTTCTTTTTACCCCTGTTTCACAGATGGGAAAACTGAAGCTGCAGGAAAGCAGGCAGATGATTTACAGAAAACCAAGTTGTTATAAGTGACTATTAGGAATAAAATGAGAGAGTTCCTCTTAGGACCCTGTATGAGCCTTCTGTGGATCATGTCTATGTATAGTTACATAGATAGCCTTTAAAAAAACAAAAAAATGCTGTTGGCAGTCTACCATATATACCAGGAGTGTTAAACTGGCAGCCACATTTTATGTAGCCATCCAGCATTTTCCAAAAATGTGAATTTAATGCTTTGGGATTGGGAGTGTGTACTCTCTAGCCCAGGGCCCCCATTCCGTCTTGTATTATGTCCTTGATTATCAATCAGACACTTTTGTTTCCTACTTGGCCCTAAAGATCCTATTCAATATTTGGAATTTGCTTTTTATTCACTTAATATTATTGGTGATTTTTTCATTTAAAATTATCCAAAAGCCTAATTTTTTATTTAATTCTGCACTTTAAAATGCGTCATTTACCCTAGAATCTCTGTCACCTTAAGTGGTCTGAATGATGTGTCCCTCACTGTTGGCTTCCTCAGTTCTCTCAGTATCCTCTGCGCCGAAGCCTCCTTAGGCCTCCTGAGAACATGCAGAGGTGATAAGGCCCAGCCCCTGTCCCTGAGTTTGCCATCTGGCTGGGGGAGAGGCAGGTACTCTAAGCTCTGATACCTGCAGACTGATTTGTCTTAGGAGGGTTCTCAGAGTTGGTAGAGTATCCAAGAAAGCGTGGATCACCTCCTGTCAGAGAGAGCAGGGCAGGCTTCAAAGAGGTGGTAGCCTGTAGTCTCACTTTGAAGGATTTCAATAGATGGAGAGTTTAATTCTTAAAGCCAGGCCCATTTTCATGTCTTAACTAAGAGATGAAGGAGACGTAGAAATATATCTCTGTTGACATGATAGCAGATAAAACAAAAATATGGGGAGCTATCCCATGATGAATATTCAGCTGAGGGGAATGTGCTTGTGCCAGCCTGCATCTCCACTCCCAATCCTCACTGCACCGAGACTCACGAGGAATTTATTGCTCATTTTAATCACACCCAAAGAATGCATCGGCAGGAATATTAGGCAGATAGGCCTATCCTATATATTTTATTTGCATATCCCAGTGACAGGATCACAAGAACATTTCCTCTCTCTATATTTTTTCATTTGCTTCAGGGGTAGCTGGGGATGTGGTACTCCCCTGGGCCTGCATTCCAGGCTGAGAGCCTGGGTGCTCCTCTCAGAACTGAGTGCAGCCCTGCAGAATGGGAGAGGAAGGGGACACAGGAGGATAGGAGGGTTATGTTCTTCCTCCCCCCCGGCC